AGTTTTGTGTGTCCATTGGATCCAATGGACAAGTGGAATGTCCATCGGACATTTGCTTTTTCAGTTGGTCAATTACCATGTATTTGAATGACGTAATTAGAAGCACATGGACGTCATGTAGATACAAGGCCATTGAGATAGCCAAACGAAAGTGTCCAATGGATCCATTGGATCCATTGGACACCGTGCCGTTCCGTTGGAAAAATATTTGTCAGATGGATCAAATGGGCAAGTGATTTCGCGTGCGGGCATAACATTGCTACAGCAGTTAGCGAATAGTACGTGGCTGCTAGCATATTGAAATATGCAATCATACTTGTTTGCACTATTTATTTTTGCGTTCTTGTTAAAGTGTGTAAATCTAGATAATTAAAATTACCATGTGACTATTATTGCTACAGACATATATTTGAGGTTTGGGCAAAGGTTATTAGTATAAAACGTTCTGCTGCTTGGCCGTTTACTACATTTTACTGTAATATATGTCAAAAGCCACGCAATTCTATCCGACTAGTATTAAAGATTTTCGTTTGCACTTTCGTTCGCGCGTACTGACTTAATTTGGCTTAAAATACTTTGAAAAATTTTAAAGATGTTATAGTCATAGACGCGAAAGCAGGATTCAAATGGGCAAGTGATTGATTCGTGCGGGCATATCGCTGGAGCAGTCAGTGAATAGTGACTGCTAGCATATTGAAATATGTAATCATTCTTGTTTTCATTCATTTTTGCGTTCTTGTTAAGTTTTTATTTTTTACTTGTATTTTTAGCGTAAATGTAGAGAATAAGAATTACCATGTGAGTAAAGCTACAGAGTATATTGGGCAAAGGTTATCAGTTTAAATTTATAAACACAACAGCATGAAACATGAGGCCGCCGCGAAATTCTATCCGACTAGGATTAAACATTTTCGGCGTTTCCATGCAGTATTGATATGTAATTATGAAACATATTTGTCGTGCGTAGTGACTTTGGCTTACGTTAAAAATACATTGAAAAGATTTAAAAATGTTGGATTTGAACACAAGCTTCCGACTGTGGAAGAACTGTGAGGAAAACTGCACTGGCAGTCAAAACTAGAAAGTTTGTATTGAAACATTTTTAATTCATTTCTTCTTGGTAACAGCAGCACTGACGAAACTGAGCAGTTTAATAGTAGCGACGGCGTTGGCAATGACCAAGGACTAGTTTTTACCAATTTTGACGCGATGTAAGATGAGATGTTATACAATTACGATCATAATTTGCATATAAGTTTGGCATAGGAAACGAAGTGACTGTTATATAACACTACTGATATACTGATATGTTGTCATGGATTATGGTGAACGTGTAAGATAGGAAGTATTTATATTTTGCCGACACATGCATGTATCATCATATGTTATTTCGCCATACGACCTTTTTTATCTTTTATTAAAGGACAGAAAAAATCCTTGGGCTCCTTGCAGCAGCTGCCACAGAATTGCAAATTCAAATTATATACAAACCACATGTAATTAAAAAAATCAGTTATTATAGCCTTTACATAAACGGATCTATCGCTTTGACAGTACCTGAAATTCGAGTACGTTCCATATAGGTTTCGTGTAGGTTTCTTAATTTAAGAAAGAAACACCAACATATTATATATTGCTATATGATATATTGCGTGAGTTGTTAAGAACGAAGCAACAACATATTGTTATATTATTGATATAAGAAATGTCTATTGACTTCCATATTATTTTTCCATTGGATCCAATTGACAGGTAATTTTCCAATGGACAGATTATTTTGTCCATTGGATCCAATGGACAGGTAAAATTCCAACAATAATTGGTCCATTGGATCCATTGGACCATTGGAACATCTCTCTGGTTTCATAACCATGTCCACATGGGATCTTGCAACCTGTTAATTACGTAATGGTAAAAACGCGGAAGCTCTTTCCGGTTGATGCATTATTCCGATCGGCAAACTTCACATGGTCTCTTATTCGGTGATGCGTAGTTCCGATAGTTGATCCATTGCTGGCCAATGGACATTCCATTTGTCCATTGGATCCAATGGACACGCAAAAGTCCAATGGAAAATTGGAGGTCCATTTGATCCATTTGACAAATGGAATGTCCAATGGCCTTTTGATTTTTCCATCGGACATCTTGCATAGGTATTGGACATGTATGGAATTAAAAGCCAGACGTAATCATAAGTAATTTATGATGTACAAAATTGTTCATAATCTAGCCCCTCCGTATCTGTCAGAATTGCGTCATGATAATGCCAGTTCTAGATCAAATCGTAGTTTACGTGTTTTGCACTGAACATATACCCAATGTTAAGTTAATTTTTTAACGCAACGTTCTAACAAAATGTTGCGAAAGTGCAAAACCTATTATTTCATTTGGATTTTTAATTTTCCTTTTTAGTTTCTCCTGCGGTGAAACAAGGTAGGGAACTTGAAGTTTATATCAAATCATATGAAGTGCGAGTTAATTGTATCAAACAAGCATGCCCCTATTTCACTGTATATATATAAAGAATATTATACACATCGGGGCGAAGATATGATTTTTATCTTCGAGTGGTGAAAACAATATTTTATATAGTAAGGTTAGTTTACGTTGTTCGAGTATGTCTAGTTTATAATTTATGGCTATTTTACATTGTTCGATTACATAGTATCTTTCAAGCGGAATTTGTTGGTGGTATTTTCGTATTTCGACTGCAAATACTCGCAGAGTTCTGTAATATTTAATCTTCCCGTCATATGTGTCGAAAATCTATAATTCCGGATCGAATGGTGTTAAGGCCGTTTTCCATATTAACGTTCGCTTTGCCCGCGCGGGCGAAGCGTTCATCGTTCTTGACGCCCGTCACACCCGCGTGAGCAGATTTTCAAAGCCCGCTCCGCCCGCGCGGGCAAAGCGACTGCAATGGGAACAGGCCTTTAAGCCAATCACAACTTGCTCAGAAACATCATTGAACAATGACGTCAGAGATCATGGGAAGGGTACATAGAGATTCAAAGGGTATATAGAGATACAGTTATATATAGATGCACAGTTCGCGTCACAACCTGGTGCGCACGTTGGCTGTTCTCACCATGTCATGACGTCATCTCTGTATGTACCAAACTGTACAGGCAGCGGGAAAATATTGTAAAAGTACGACATAATATTAAGCAGGCTATAGGCACTTATTTGAAGAAGGTTTTCTTTTTCGAGCATAAAAAACATCTGGCACCCAAAGTAAACTGATGCACATTATTCAAGTTTCCATAGTATTGTAGTTACCAATTTCAGTCGCTCATATTCTTCCAATCTTGCTTAGATAATTATTCTAATTTTATGTGTACTTACATCTACATTCTTGAGGCACCTTAGGCTTAACATGAGAGGAGTGTATTCATTTTATGAGTCAAGCTCGAGCCCGAGTCAAGCTCGAGTCACGAGGCCAATTCGAGTCAAGCTAAAAATTTCTAACTGTATACAATCGCCTACACACTTCCCAGAAAAGCTTTCTCACATCCTCGACATACATCCGAAATCAACTATTATACTTCCTGTTTTCCTCAAAAATGAAGGTTACCAGCCTGTGTGCGGGTTATATATATGAAATTGAAACAATGGCCTCTGGGTGAAGGTATAGTAAAAGCATGGTTTTCTTAAAAATATGTTTGCAATCTGTTTCAATCATATTATAAACCGTTACTCGAAGTGTGCAGTTTTTCATCTACTTGTCTTTTAAGGTCCATACATGCAGAGCGGACGCGATTCGGCAACGCGAATTTTCAATGACATTTAACTTCAATATTTTTCTATATTTTTCAAATATTCGGAACCACTTAAGCAATTTTAACTATTTGGTCTGCATATTTTGTAAAATTTTTAACCGTTCACAGTTTTATTTGTTTTTAAAAACTGAAAATTCGCGTCGTGTTGCCGATTCGCGTTTGGTCTGTGTGGGCCGCTAAGGTGGCTTGCTACACTTTTTTAAAAACTAAGGATTTTCTGATTTGAATATGAATTTCTGGAGAATTATTATTTGTTTTAAAACAGAGAGTATCTGATTGGTAATAACACAATAACTAAGGAGTTCGGAATTTAAAAAAAACTCCTAACTGCCGTTGTTATGGCAACAATGACGTCACAATATGGCGGATATTTTAAGTTTAAAGTAACTTAACTTAGTTAAAATTTGAGTAAGTAATACGTTTCTTTACGTCTAAAATTATGGTATTACAACAATATTCAAATATAGGCTTTGCAAAGGCTGCACAAAACGGTTGTCGGCTTACCTGCTCGCAAATTAGGAATTACCGGATTAAATTAATTTCTCACAAACAGAATTCCCATAGTCGTTGTCTCACTTGTCTGTACATTGGCTCGTCCACAGTCCCATAAATATATAGCGGTTCCATGGCCTTTGCCGTAAAAGGACGCCCAGGCATACGGGAATAAACCATCGCATTCCCATCATTCAACGTGAGATAAGCGACTGGGCCGAGTCAGTTTGTGGAACAACAAACAACAAGCGACGGTGAGAATGTAAATAAAGAAAGATGCGCTATTTCATAAAGTATATTTACCTGCATCAAAATTGGAAATTAAAATATCAAAATTGTCAAATTAGCGTAAAAGCGCAAAAACGAAGTTTATAGGTTGACTCGAATTTGATCGTGACTCGAAATTGACTCGTGACTCGAAATTGACTCGCGACTCGTGCTTGACTCGGGCTCGAGCTTGACTCGTGAAATGACCTATCTCACATGAGAGTGACCTTCAAGGCTTTTTATTTTATCGAAACGTGAAAGTAAAACAAACATCCAAGGCAGGGTCGGACCAAACGAAAGATGCTAACATTTCAAATATAAATACATAATTGAAAAAGTTATTTGCTTATTTTGTTTCAGTTGATCCTGTAGTGCAATCATTACTTAAAAATTCAACCATCTTGGATGATGATACTGACGATGCGCAGCAACTAGTAGAGTGGATGAAAGACAAGAAGTTTGGTTGGCAAATTTGTTATCGAGCCTCGGAAGACGGCTGGGGATCAGCAGATTTTCATAGAAAGTGTGACGATGTAGGACCCACAGTGACCTTGATCAAATGTGGAACTAACGTCTTTGGGGGTTTTACAGATCAGAGCTGGAAAGTATCAGGTATCAAATATTGTCTTTGTCTTTTGAAAATCCTAAGTAAACTAGTATATTCAAAATACCAATATACCATTTTTATGTAACAGGACCATGTGTGCAAACAGTATTCATCACAGCTCAAAATTGTGTTGATAACAGAGATCTTGCTATCGAACGTATCGATAATAAAACCTATAGATAGAATCGCTAATCCCCATCACAAAGCAGACTGAAAACGGACAAGCTGGGTAGTAGAGGTGTGCAAATCCGATCCGATTCAGTTCGAATTTCGGAACCAAAATATTCATATCGGATCGGACTTCGATATCCGAACTGATAAAATGAATTAATTATCCACGCATTATCGCAAGAATTAATTATCCATGCATTTATCAAAGCATTCATCGCGGTTGTCGCTGCACTATTCGTTTGATACTTCAATTGGACGCCACTTTGTCAGCTTCTCGACATGTATTTCTTGCTTTTATATTTACTTGGTTAAATATTTCAACATGAATGAGAAATTTATTTTATTTGAAGAATTCTTCGGATCGGATCGGATTGGAATTCTTTATCAAAACTCGAATCGGATCGGATTAGACAATTTCGGATCGGATTTTAAACATTAGCCAATTGTCGGATTATAAACGTCCAATCCGATCCGATGCACACCTCTATACTGGGTAGCTACAGCGCAGGGTTAAGAATGTTTACTCCGACCACGAGGACAACGCAACCGTAATAGAATATCCCTAAGCACTAAACAGATTGCTTACTTGCCACTTGCCACGTATACTGCAAGTATTCCTCCACGCGTATCAAAAATTATTCAACATGTAAAGCTATTGTTTAAAATTAAAGGCCACGGATGACAAGAAAAGCTTTCGACTGAAAAGCACCGCACATCGTAGTCTTCTTCTGCTTAGGAAATCGATTACGAATACATTTTGCTAAGCATATAGCTCTAGAGTGCGCTGGGCTAAAAACTAATTATATGAAAAAATGTTCTTTTCTTTAAGCTCAATGCGGTGGATGTAAACGTTCCAATCTTTCATTTGTATTCTCGCTTCGAAATAAGGAAAAATTGCCGCCGTTCAAATGCCCAATTAAGAATGATCAAATTGACAAAGCTATCTGGTGTCATCCAAGCAATGGAGCAAACTTTGGTGGTGGTAATCTGTACATCGCTAACAGTGCTAACACAAACCAAATGTCGTACGCCACGTGTTTTGGAAGTGTTTACAAACTTCCCCAAGGATACCAACCTTGCACTCCACAAACCCAATCACTGCTTGCGGGAAGCGAAAACTTCACACCAACAAAGATAGAAGTTTTTTGTTAGAAAAAGGTACAAAATTCAAAACTGAACACTATAGCTACCTCTTTTCAGTAGAACTTATGTCAATTTACGACGCGTTTCATGAAACCTGATAAGGGACCGTTCATTATTTATACCAGGGGTTGGTGCCGAAGAGATATGGGTTGGGTAATCAAGTTTTTGACTAGCTCATGGGTTGGGTAGAAAAATTATGGCTGTCTGTCAGCTATAAAATCAAATAAAATTACCATGCATTGGAAAATCTGAAGAAAAATGTACAATTAACATTCTGTACCAATATAGACCATCAGTGATTGAGGAAGGACTCTATCATTGATCAGCAGAAACGGGATTGCTTTGGCACACTCAGTGAATTTGAGTGTGAGTGAGCTTTTAAAATTTAGGCAACTTGATTTCTGTCACCATAATCTCGTGTGTTTAATTATTATGAAGTACAGTAACACATGGGTTGGGTAAACATTATTTTGACCAATGTTGAGGTTGGGTAAATAAAAAATTTACAGTGTTTTTCGCTTCTCTTCGGTACCAACCCCAGGTATAAATAATGAACGGTCCCTAAGCTAGCTATACCATAAAGTTGAATACGTTTTGTACATCCAGTTGTACTACGCTAAGTTTAAGAATGCTTAAAAACGTAAAACACAGTGTTATTTTGTTGCATTTCGAGAGACCGATTGAGTAACTATAAGGACTAATATTTTGACGCGGTATATACGTTAGATTATTTTTCTTTTTTCATTGAAAAAGACGTTGAAATTAAGAAACCGCGACACTCAGTTTACAGTAAATGTTTATTTTCCGGCACTATATCTTTAAAGATTCTACTAAAAACATTTTATTTTGGGAAGCTCCCGAAAACAGCAAAATATTCTGCAAAAATAAATACTGTTGTAGAAACATAACTTTTAGGCAGCTAGCGAAAGCCGTTGCAAAAAAATTAGTCAGCATGCAAAAGTAAGATTTTTTATCCGTATGCCGAAGCGCCTGCCGTAAACCTCCGAATATAAACCCCCGGCCCTAGCTCCATGCACTCCCCCTATGTATAAGCCCACAAAAAATACCTACGAACGAATATAAGCCCATGCAGCCCTTATATTCGGAGGTTTACAGTCAGGGCCGTATTGACCGGGAGGTGTCACACAACCCCCAATAATTGCGAGATAAGTTTAATTAAAAATTCAGGTAAAAAACGTGTCCATGTCTGAAGTCGGTGAAGTATTAGCATAATAGCATTTAATATAAGATTTATTATAAGTTTAGCAGCAGGGACGATACTAAAATATTTGAGAGAATGAAAAATCCAATATCCGGAAAATGTTGTATATAATGTCCGGAACAATGTTTTAACCCTCCGACTTTGCTCGCAGGGTATTGTTTGAACTGCTAAAAACAGTAACCCGCCAACATAACGCAGGTTTTGAACATGACTTTACGCCTTATGAATACTTTCTCTAAAACGCTGATTAACTACAATTAAAAAAGCCCAGCACGAAATGCATTTCTAGGTGTGGAAAAATACAAACATTATAGACCCTCAGACTTCACTATAACATATGTACTGCGTCACACTATGCGTTTTGTTATTAATAACCATCTGTTGTAATCTCTTCAGATATTAAAAAAGGGCTTGACTGTATAAATCATTATGAATTATTATTATTATAATTTGAAAAGATTTAGCCCTATCTGATAAAAAACGTTTTCCAAGAGGCCATTCCTAAAATCTGCATTTATTTATATTTACAAAAACATAAAAAAGTACAAACTATTGGTATACTACAACAAAAGTACAAACTATTGTCTATTTGTATACTACCATGTATATTCATACAAGAACATTAAAAATGAATATATATACATGCAAAACTATCCCACACTCTCAAGAATAGCTTCGTAAACGTGTTCTAACATTTAGCACTGCATGGAGATGTTAAATAAACTGTTGCATAGATTCAGATGCAATCCAATTTTTGACTTTATATATTAATTTTTTATTCCATGTACATTCTTTCAACGTTTCCCAATTGTGATGGCACAATAAATCTTTTGAAGGAACATCATAACTGTTAGATCCCTGTTAAAATTCTTGCCGCCCAATTCTGTATTTTGTTCAGGTTCTCAAGATAATAGTAGGATGGCTGTGTTGTCCCATACCGTATAGCTATAATCGAAGTAATTGAGTATCACTGCATGAACGTTACTTTTATATATGATTTGTAAAACAGATTCAGTTACAAACGGTTTCATCAACATGAGCTCCACCTTTGAATTTACTATATGAGTAAATTCTTAAACACGTCCGAATTTATCATAATGATAAATTCGCGGCACATTTTGAATTTATCAATAGAGTTAATCATAAAACCACAAGCATTACACAATATTTCTTGTTATAAATGTAATGGCACTAAAAGAGAGGCCGGTCTCGCACGGGCGGGGAGTTTTTCAACTTTTCTAAAAAAATAGTTTTTAATAAAGTTTAAAAAGTTAGATTTTGAAAAAAGTCAGGGGTTAGTGGTTAGGTTGGGGTTGCGGTTAGGGTTAGTGTTAGGTGCCGCGAATTTATTATTATGATAAATTCAAAATTTGCCGCGAATTTAATATCATAATGATAAATTCGGACGTGTTTAAGAATTTACTCATATAGTAAATTCAAAGGTGGAGTTCATGCTGTTTTACTAAACTATAGTATAGTTGTCTCTTATATCATGGTGGGCTTTCCACAGCAATTTGTCTAGTAAATTCTTATCCCTTGTGCATCTTAAAATTCCCGTATATATTGGCAGAAATGCTTGGTCTCCACTCATACAGTGATATAAAATTATCTTCGGCAATATAGTATTTGGAAGGTTTTTAGATATAGTTTGGAAAACGAAACAAATAAATTATTGGATTAATTGCAAAGTTAATTACATATACAACAGGCTAAATATATACAGAAGGATCAGAAAAGACAAACTGTCTGCTGACAGTAGCCTACTTTGTTCGCGAACCAGTGCCTTAAAATCCATAGCGGAACAAAACCAGCAACTGTAATACAAGCAATGAAAAGAATTGTTTTCAGAAATTTCTTTTCTTTCAACAGGCGTAGTTTTTCAGCATGATTTCCATTCGATGCGTTCCGTTCAGTTATGTTTCTCGACTGTTTTTTCAAAGCGATGCAAATTGAAGCGTATGCGATCGACGATAACAACAGTAGCGCCACAACCAAGCCTCCGTGCACTAACTCTTCATAGTTGTGTTCAAATCCAAAAATAAATAGTTTTGAAGAATAGGAAATGCTTATGAGCCAAACGCATGATAACCAAATTGCCATCACTTTCCCTTTTATCCAATAACGATGTTTAAGAGGATAGACAACCATGAAAAGTCGATCAATTGAAATAGACGCAATAGTCAAACAAGACACGTTTGCAAAACAACGATTAAGAAGGTGGAAGGTCGAAGACAAGTCTTGGACATCGTGATTCAAAAACTGAAATGTCAAGGTGAAACAAACCAACAAATCTGAAATTGCAAGATTGATAACAAACGACATTACCAAATTTTTGAAATATTTTAGAGGATCTTTTAGAGAAGCATAGAGAAGTAATAAATGTAGGATCACTCCACAAATGTAGATGAAAAGTTGAGCAAAAATCATGGCACTGCTTTCAAAAATGTCTTTCTTTTCTTGCGATACCATTTTTAAAGTGTTCTCGTTATCTGCAGAACTATATTAAACCTTTTGAAAATTAATATTGTATTATGCTCATTTAAGGATTTTAATTACTCCGTTTATTTGTCGTTAAATGAAATATATTACACACTGTGTTTAATATGAGTCGATCATTTAGTTCACCGTCGTTATAGACTTTTTAATTTTATATATGAACACCTGCACTTTACAGTTCTGAAATCTTTCGATTTGTAATTTCTCATATTTCTATTTATGAAGACCTTTATATGTATATTTACGGGAACCACTCAGTATTTTAAGAAAATACAAAGTAACAGTAACTCCGAATAACATCTTGATTTTTTTCGTTTCGACTAGTTTGTAGTCATCTTCAGGATTAATAATAGTGTAAAATTACAGATGCAGCTATTATAAAACCAGAAAGGCGGAGCTTAAATGCCAGTTAATGAAATATGAGAAGTTCTTTGGAAGCTTTCACACCGTGGTTGAGATCAGGTTTTCGTCTGCGTATATAGCAAGAGACTCCTTGAATAACAACAAAGACCAGTGGTCTGACCTATCAATTATTTTACAATTTCTAAATATTAGTTCAGTTAAATTAGTGTTTATAGTGGAAAAAATCAACATCAACTGCAACAACAACTCACAACAACTGCTGCGAACATTTTCAACACATCAAATCCCTTATGGAACTTTCACTTGACTCAACTAACACTATAAACACTAATTTAACTGAACTAATATTTAGAAATTGTAAAATAATTGATAGGTCAGACCACTGGTCTTTGTGTTATTCAAGGAATCTCCTGCTATACGCAGACGAAAACCTGATCTCAACCACGGTGCGAAAGCTTCCAAAGAACTTCTCATATTTCATTAACTGGCATTTAAGCTCCGCCTTTCTGGTTTTATAATAGCTATATCTGTAATTTTACACTATTATTAGGGAAAGTACATTTATTATGCCGAGGGGGGGGATGAAGATGTTAAGGGGGGGCTCCAAAATATTTTCTGGCATTAAAGGGGGGGCTCTGAAAGTTCTTGATATACTGAAGGGGGGGGGCTCTAAACTTTTCAAAGGTTTGACCCCAGCAAATTAAAGTTAAAATTTTTACATTTTCAGGTAAAATTTGCATAATAAAGTAATTATTTTTGTGAAATGATAACCATTTTTGTAAAATACAGTCAATTTACATGCAATTTGTTTGCGAAATTTGCTTTAGAAAACGCCAGAAATTCAGTCCTAGAGCTTCGAAAATGTAAAAATTTTCTGGGGGAGGACCCCCAGACCCCCTTTTCTCCCAAAACTTAGTATAAGAGTGCCAATCAATCACAAAAAGCTTTATTATAATTATTACACGTATAATCCTCTGACATCCCCCCCACCCCAAACGTCAGATGCTTTGCTACGTCCCTGATGGTTGTATTCGAAACCGATTTCAGTTTTAAGATATCCTTAGTCTGCTCTTCTAAATGGATACATGAAATCACCTATAGCTTATTTTAAATTTTTTGGCGCCAGGTTTGTGAAGTAATTTACGCGCCAAAAAGTAGCAGTTCCAAAAACAAAAAAGCATATACGATTTGCAAGAATGATATGTTCTATGTTTATGGGATATTTCGTACAAACGGGATGGAAATTAAAGAAATTGAAGCATACTGGCACTTTTGCATACATTTTTGACAGGCATGCAAAGACATTTGCAACAGATGCCGGGAGATACGTTGGGTGGGGGCGACATACTGTAAGGTTCCAGCACATTACCCTGATCCAGGAAATCCTGGCCACTACATGAACGTGTTCAAGACTCCGAATACGCTCAATGATGGACAACAACAACCTGTTGATAATTTCACCCCTAGAGCCAATTTAAATTGTTTTAAAGACGGTGCCATTTCATCTGGCGCTAATGAGGTGAAAGAAGCAGCAGATCGGTAGTTTTGTTGAGGAGAAGCACATGCTTGAGTATATCAGACATCTTGAGGAACTGCAAATTGTATCTATGATAAGAGAGAATTCCGGATTGTACTCCTTCGATTCCGAATTCTACAGGGGGGGGGGGCGGCATTGAAATTTACCAATGACCTCAACCGGGGCCCTGTAAATATATGAGCTTTTTTCAAGACATCTTCATCCCCCTCCCTCCGGTGTAATAAATGTACTTTCCCTTAATCCTGAGGCAGGGGCGTAGGAACCGGGGGGGGTGGTGGCAGTGGGGCCATGCCCCCTCCCCCCCCCCCAAGTTTTGACAAGTGCCCTTTTTCCGGAAGCAAAGTGCCCTTTTTGTGCGTGTAAATTTTTCATTAAAATTGTATTTTTAGCCCAAGGTGCACTTTTGAAAACTTCAATGTACGTTATTTTCTGAAAAATGTTAAAAATTGCGGAAAAAAATCATATATCCTGAAAATTTTGTTTGTATTCCGGAAAATTTTTTTAGTATTTACGAAAAAAATTTTGTTTATCCTGAAAATATATTTGGGATATGTCCGGAAAATTTTTTTTGGACCCCTAAAATGGTACACTGACCGAAATTTTTTTGGCGACGGGGGGGGGAGGGACGTCGCCAACCAAAAATTTGGAGATACCCTTTTTTTTCGAAAAGTGCTCCTCAAAGCCTGGCCCCCCCCCCCAACTTTTGGAAGGTTCCTACGCCCCTGTCCTGAGGATGACTACAAACTAGTCGAAACGTCGATTAAAAATCAAAATGTTATTCGGAGTTACTGTTATTTTGTATTATATGTATATGGTTCGAATATTTTGCAAAATAAATAGATGTAGAAAATGTGTTTTTTCAGCGAAAAATAGTCGTTCCTGTTTAAGCATGCATATATATATATATACAAGGAAATGTATCAATCATTTATGATGATACTTGCATATTTTCTGCCGCGAAAGTGTATTAAATTTCAGTACTGAAACCTGTCCTGAGTCGTATCTATAAAAAATATATGAAGATGCAGAGACTCCGAACCAAAATGTGTGCCTTAGCATGCATATATATCTATTCATTTCTTGCAAAACTTCTTATATCACAGTAATATTATTATATTACATTGCAGTAAATTAAACCGACATATTTTCAAAACAAAAACTTATAATATTCATATAGGCGGCATGCAGAAGCGGAGAATGGCAGGGGAGCTATATAGCACTCCCAAAGGAGGTGGGAAATGAGGTAGCGCTATGCTTCCCCTCCCCGCCCCCCTCCCAAAATGAAATGAAGGAGGGTGTTAGATTCTCTGCGTGCATGCTGGTTGGATGTAAAATGGTTTCCATAAGACCCATAAGGTCGTAACGACGGTCGTAAAGATTGAGTCACGATCTTTCTCATCAGCCGAAATACAACATTTTAGAACTGAAAATACGCGGGGTGATTATAACTAGAGAATACTTGTGATTTATATATGTGGTTTACAGGTATAAACTATTATATAACTGACTACAAAACAGAAGCATACGACATGCATGAATTAAGTCTAAATTGTGAGAGCGACATGCATGAAAAAGGTAGACTAAACAAGAATGAAATTCAAGCAACAATATATATGGTAACATTTTTAGGCGTCGATATTCTTGTTTTGAAAATCAGACATCATATAGACCTTATTCATAAATCGTGATAAGGCCTCGTATCCTAGGAAACGGGGAAAAACGCGGGAAAATTGACAACATGGGGGTTTTTTGCTGTCGGCTATGGCAGCTTTTTATCGTGAATATTACGGCTTTTTTCGAAAATAATATCTATAAAACTGATCATGAAAGTTGAAAAAAATACTTCTGAGAAAATATAACATGATATTTGAAGCAAAAGATGCTGGAGTCAATTGAAAAAGGAAACCTTTGACTTTGTATTATTGCCAAGTTTGTATGGGCAAATCGACTCGCATTACCTCAATCCCATTCCCATTTTTGAGGACTTCATTTCCCATTCCCAGTGGCCAAATCCCAGTCCCAGCAACCCAAATCCCATTTTCCCAGTCTAAATATAGATCAATCCCAGTTCCCATTTTACCCCTTCAGGGCCCTCTTTCGAATACAGTATCTTCACTTCTGGCAGCTAGTCCAAAAACATAATATTATTGAAATCATAATTAGGTAATTAAATTTGTTTGGTGGTTGTTGTTGTTGTTGTTGTTGTTGTTGTTGCTTATTATACTGTTCTATAAAAGAGGCAATAAAGTCGGTTTTCCACTAGCGAATTTTCTCGCACGAAGCGACCTTTTTCCTTTGTCGGTATCACTTATTACGTCAGCAAGACGTGGCAAAATCAGTCCTCGTAAACGAGGACGGCATTCGGCAATGCCGGGTTAAATGCAAATTTTTGCCCACCTTAATTCAACCAAAGTAAGAATTTTTTATGCTGATAGCTTTTAAAATGTCAGCGAATTCGATTAACTGAACACACTACGGTGTAAGGTTTAAAAACTGACGGGTATTGTGTATATACGTTAGATGTTTGAAGATCAAATTTCGCGCGTCTGGAGTTAAAATTTGGCTCCAACTTTCGAATTTTCCGGCTGGAGGTAACGTTCCAGTTATATTCCGATTTCAATTATTCGTAAATTCGTGATTAATTAATATTGCTCCAAGACGTGGAACAGATTTTAAGAAATGCCGAGATGTGCCGACCTAGGTCAGATTTAGGTCGGCCATCTTTTGCCGACCTCAATTTTGACGGTTTTGACTTTTCGAGGGCTGCAAAATGGATGCCGACAAAGGAAAAAGGTCGCTTCGCGCAGAGTATTTACTATAGTATTACTATAGATGGCCCTGAAGGAGTAAAATGGGAACTGGGATTGACCTATTTTTAGACTGGGAAAATGGGATTTGGGTTGCTGGGACTGGGATTTGGCCACTGCGAATGGGAAATGAAGTCCTCAAAAATAGGAATGGGATTGAAGTAATGTGAGTCGATTCCCAATTTTGATCCGTTTTTGGTGTCTTTAGTCATGATTTTTGTTGTTAACTATATTATTCACAGCATTACCTGCGAACAGGCATACTCTGGCGCCCGGAATTTTTTGGTTTTCTGATTATGCGTGTCTCAGAATGATGCAAATGCCATTTCCG